GTCTTAGAGCGCATAACACCAATGATAATGCCTACAAAATAGACTTGCAGGTGAGTTCCTTGTTATAGAAGGGAAAAGGCCCCACTGGGTTGAAAAGGATACCCATTACCAGCTGACTGGCATCTGCTTTCGGTGGTGATAAGATGCGGATTCACCATCACAAGGCATAAAAAAAAAAAGAAAAGTGGTGGAAGCATCCGGAGAAAAAGAGATAGACAAATGACGTCCAGGTGGACCACTCTTGCGAATGAGTAGTATGCCTCCTTTTGTTTTTGTGGTTTTGTTTTCTCTGTGCAAGAACAAAGCAAATAAAAAAAAAAGAGAAGAGGGTAACGGTGGAAACATCCGGAGATGCAGCACATGGACAAGTGGCATCCTAACAAAGCGGAATAAAGCAAAGTCCCAAAAAAAAAAAATCAAAATCAATCAATGGACTCCATTTTCCAAACCATTTTATTTAAGGCCGAATTATTTAAAGAACTGGTCAAGGAGGACAAGTACGATTCTAAGTAAGGGAAATTAGGTACGTCGGCCCGTTGGATAGCCGAACGCCCGGCAAGACCGGCCTCTTTTAATACCTAACGATATTCTATTGAATTTTATTTTTAGAAAAGCCAATTATTTACCAACCCGAACAAATCAAACCGAGTTCCTATGTGGAAAATTATTTAATCGTCCCAAATAAATTCATCCATTGCATCCATTCATAAATAAATCATCATGTCCATCATCCACCCATAAAACATATCAAATAAAGATAAAAAGACCCGCTCTTGCCTTATGGTTAAAGGCGGGCCAAAAACCGAGTTTAATAATATAATTAATGGTAAACAATAAGAAATGAATCCTAAACATCTCATAATCATCAATAATTAATTGATTTAGTTTGATTAAGACTCAGTTTGCCCATAATTGATCATTTTCCGGGTTAGGATTAATATCTACTTAATGAAATGAAATTAAAACAAAATAACAAAAATAAATTGAAACTAGGAAACAGTCGCGTCACGCGGGGGTTCTATGGAAGAACAGTCGCGTGGCGCAACTCTTATCCTTTATTCTGGAACCCATAAAAGTTGCGTCACGCAGCTGTTCTATGAAGAACAGTCGCGTTGAAGAACAGTCGCGTGACGGAGGAACTCTATCATATTACTGGAACTTGGAACAGTCGCGTCACGCGAGTGTTCTATGGAGAACAGTTGCGTGACAGAACTCTATCATATTACTGGAACTTGGAACAGTCGCGTCATGCGAGTGTTCTATGGAGAACAGTTGCGTGACGGAACCCCTACCTACGCGACGGAACTGTTTGCGACTTACTCCAAATCCTCAACTTTATTGATTATTTATTCAAGATGTCATATTAAATACAAATATAAGGATAAAAAGTATACTGGGTATACAAATAGCTGCGTCACGCAGGTGGTCCAGTCCGAATCAAAGACTTTTGGACATGAACAGCCGCGTCACGCAGGTAACGCAGGTAGATAGCTGCGTGACGCGACTGCTTCTGGTTCCGCACTACCTTTCAAACTACCTTTTTTTACGTTTCTTTTTTGTTAATCAGTGGTTTAACACACTCGGAAATACTCAGAATGGGCCACAAATGGCGTTTAACCAATACCAATTAAAAATACTAGAAAATGAAGATTTTTAAGAGATAGAATATTAGAAATGAAAAGAGAAGTTAAGAATCGTTACCTAAGCCCCTCAGATTTGAGGATTGCATGCCTGGAATTAGTTTCAGAGAGGTTGTATCACGTATTCCAGAAGCGTGGTTTCCAACAAAACCGTTTTCCTTTTATCTTTCTCTACTTTTTGCTCTCTTTTCTTTTTTCGTTTTTTCTTTTTTTTTTTTTTTTTTGTTTCAAAACCCAAAATGTCTAATGGTTTTTGCGATCTTCCTCAGTTTACTCACTTGAGTTTACATTTGGCGGAAGACAAAACCCTAGCCGTTTTTGTAAACTTAGGTTAAAGCTTTTCAATTTTTTAGAGCCAAGAATCAGAGAAAAATGTCAAAAGTCCCGTTTTTGCTGTGAAATGCAGTATTTATATGGCTAGGGCAACAGGGCAGTCGCGTCATGCTGGTAGAAGCTGTGTGACGCACCCGTAAACCTGCGTGACGCGACTTACTTTTCGTACATTTGCCGCGTATCCATACAAACGATGCAGGCCATTGCACGGGCGCGCCCCAGAGGTGTCAGTCCTGTTAGAGCTGCGTGGCGCATCTAAGAGTGCCGTCACGCAGGTACTAGCTGCGTGACGCAGCCCTAACACGGGTCAGGCTCCTTTGGGCGGTTTGATTCAATTTTTGGTTCAATTTTTGGTTCAAACACTTCTGGTTTATCGTGATACCTTATCCCCTTGATCCTCATATCATCAAATCGGTCAGGTGGAGGCAAATAAATCATGCCGTTCAACACTTCCTAGTGGACGCAAATTACAAGGAACCGTGCCAAGAAAGTATGGAGCAACCATGTCCTTAATATATTCAAGAACAGTCACACAAGAAGTCCATGATTCTTGCTTTCACAACAGTGCTACCTGAAGACTTGAAGGAACACCTAAGTTCCTCCATATTTGATGGAGCAATGTTTGAGATCAAATCTGAAATTCAAGCATATGGCAATGCCCTGGCCCATAACTAGAGCCCTAACTTTTGGCGTGATAAAGTAGCCCATTTTTGTTTAGTTTTGAGTTGTAATGTTGTTAATGATTTGGGCCACAATAAATTGGGCCACCTTTAATTTTTTTATCCTTAAGTTGGTTTTGGATTAATTATTCCTTATCCTTAGTTGGTTTGGATTAATTATTCCCTTTATCCTTAATTTTGTTGGATTAGTTAGTCCTTATCCTAAGTTGGTTTGGATTAATTATTCCTTATCCTTAAGTTGGTTTGGATTAATTACTCTTTATCCTTAGTTGGTTTGGATTAAATTATTCCTTATCCTAAGTTTATTTACGCTTTAGCTAATCTTGAGTTGAATTTGGATTAGTTAACCAAATCCTTAAGTTGTTTAGATTTGCTAGTCATATCCTTAGTTGGTTTAGATTTGCTAAATCCTACTCCTTAGCTAACTCTATATCCTTTAAGGATCTGGACCTCTTAGATTAGTATAAATAGCTTGTTATTTTATAATTATTCACATTATTATTCAATCAATGAAATAGAATTTCTTCTTCATGCTTTGGCATGTTCTTGCTTTAGAGAGAGTGTGAGATTGCATTCTTCTAATTGCATCAAGAATCAAGGTAAACTTATCAATTCTTTTGTGGCGTTTATCTCTTATTCTTTTACTCTATTATTGGTTGTTCTTACTTCTTTAAGTTTGTGCCATAGAGGGAAATTTATTTAGATCTTGGATCTCTTCCAAAACTTGACATAGAGTTCATGGAATTTATTTCCATAGGGTTCCGCGTCACTTGGCATTCTGTTTGCTTGAAGAGGAATCATATTAAGTCACCATGAGTAGGCTAATGAATGAGGATGCCATGACCAAGAACGAGTTAGAGGGAATTCAACACTGGGCCACTCTCTGTTGATGAGTGTCAAAAATAATACCTCATTACCTACTGTAACAACAAGAAACTTCTAGGACGTGTGAAAGCATTTGACTGGTACTGCAATATGGTTCTAGAAAATGTCAAGGATATGTGGATTGAGGTGCCAAAAATTGGAAAAGGTAAGAAAAAAGTTTAACCAGTCAACAAAGATAGATTCATCAATAAAATATTTCTTCGAGGAGACTCTATTATCATTGTCCTCAAGAATACAAAGTGAAATGGGATGATTTTGATGATCTTTATTTGTTTTGAAAAAGCAATTCTTAATAAAAATAATGTGAAAACAAGACATATTAGATTCGAAAATAATTTAGAGATTAGGAAAAACTTATAAGGAGAGAGAGAGAGATTGTGAAGTGAGCGAGTAGTGACAGAGGAAGAGAGAGAGAAAGGAAGGAAAGAATGTGAGTGAAAGAAGCTGCCATGTCAGCAAAAAAAAAAATCCATTGTGGCATAACATCTCTATCCTCTTTGTATTTCTGGCTTGCCATATAAGCCGGAGGTACCCGATTGAAAATTTTTTTGGAGTTGAAACACCTAATTGCAAACGTTTTCCGTTGAGACATTAAAATAAAAAATTATCGAAAGTTGAAATACTAAATTTATGATTAACCTTTTTTTAAGTATGAAATTTTAGTAGGGTTTATTGAAACTATATTAAAGTTAGATTTCTTATAAAAATGAGTTTTATTTATTATAACATATTTTATTTTTTAAGAAATTATTACTTGTTGTCAATATTATATGAATAAATACTAATATTTTATTTTAAATTTTTAGTAGGGTTTATTGAGAACTATATTTAAAAAGTTAGATTTTTTTCTTTATAAAAAAATGAGTTTTATTTATTTAATAACCCATATTCTAATTTTTTTTTAAGAATTATTATTTACTTGTTGTCAATATTATATGAATAAATAACTTAAATATTTTAATTTTTAAAATTAAAATTATATTAATTTGCAAACGTTTTCTATTGAGACACTAAAATAAAATTATATCGAAAGTTGACGGACCAAAATTTATGATTCTTAAACCTTTTTTTTTTTTTTAAACGTTAATGAAATTTTAGTAGGGTTTATTGAAAACTATAATTTAAAAGTTTTAGGATTTTTCCTTTATAAAAATGAGTTTTTAAATTTCATTATAACATATTTTTTATTTTTTTTAAAAGAAATTTATTTATTTTGCTTTTCTTGTCAATATAACATATTTTATTTTTTAAGAAATTATTATTTGTTGTCAATATTATATGAATAAATACTAATATTTTATTTTAAATAAATATATTATTTTTTATTTTAATATTGAGATATTGTTATAACTATAATTAAAATTCAGAGCAATAGAAAAAGAAAATTAAATTTAAAGTAGAATTAAAACTATTGTAAAATTTAAAATTTTTCTCAATGATTTAGCTTAGAGTTCCGCATTTTGTTGTAACTTTGGAGCGTGGCCTTAAAAAATTGGGTGGACAATTGAAGCGAAAGCCCTTGACTGACTCTCGAGCGAGAAAGAGAGAGAAGCCATCGCCAAAACCCAAACCCTAGCCACCTTATTAGATTTCTCTCTCTGAAGCCAGTGTTTTAACAGTAGCGTCAACGATGGCGAGGAAGCGAAAGCACGATTCCAATGGCAACGAAGCAGCTGAACCGCCTAAAAAGCAGCAACAAAAACAGAAGGAAGAGATTGTAGAAGAAGAAGATGAATACGAAGAAGTCGAAGAAGAGGAAGATGTTGAAGAAGAGGTAGAAGAAGAGGACGATGAAGAAGATGACGATGTGAAAGAGGAGGAAGGAAATAACAATCAGATATCAGTTTCCGACGACGAAGACGAGGAGCCCATTGAAAACCTTCTCGAACCATTTGGCAAAGATCAACTTATCAATCTGCTCCGTGAAGCAGCCGATAGCCACCGTGATGTTGCAGATCGCATACGCAGGATAGCGGATGAGGATCCAGTCCACCGCAAAATTTTTGTACACGGCCTTGGATGGGACACCAATGCTGAGACCCTTTTGAACGCCTTTAAGCCCTATGGTGAAATTGAGGATTGTAAGGCTGTGTGCGACAAGGTTTCTGGGAAATCCAAGGGCTATGGATTTATCCTCTTCAAGAAGCGAAGCGGGGCCCGCAAAGCCCTCAAAGAACCGCAAAAAAAGATTGGCAACCGTATGACTGCCTGCCAGCTTGCTTCCATTGGTCCTGTCCCTACTACCAGTGCAGCAATCCTTTCACAGCAGCAGCTGGTGTCTGAGTATACTCAGAGAAAGATTTATGTAAGCAATGTTGGGGCGGATTTGGATCCTCAGAAGCTGACTACCTTCTTTTCCAATTATGGAGAGATTGAGGAAGGTCCTTTAGGACTAGACAAGCTTTCTGGTAAGCCCAAGGGATTTTGTTTGTTCGTGTACAAGAACGTTGAGAGTGCCAAGAAGGCGCTTGAAGAGCCACACAAGAATTTTGAGGGCCACATTTTGCATTGCCAGAAAGCTATAGATGGGCCCAAACCTGGTAAATCTATGCAGCAGCAACGGAGCCAACATAATGTGCAAAATCCCAATTTTCAGCGGAATGAAAATGTTGCTTTTGCTGGTGGAACGGCTGCAGGACCAGCCCATCTCATGGCACCTGCTGCTGGACCTGGGATTGGGTTTAACCAGGGAGCTGCAGCTGCTCCTGCTTTGAACCCTGCTCTTGGACAGGCTCTAACAGCCTTGCTTGCTACTCAAGGTGCTGGATTGGGGCTTACTAGTATATTAGGAACTCTAGGTTCTGCTGCTGCTGTTAGCCAGGCTGGTGTGCCTGGTGCAGCAAGCGGAATGCAGGGTGCCTATGGTAACCAGGCAAATATAAGCCCTGGAGTGATTGGATCTTATGGTACTCAGGGAGTAATTCAGGGCGGCTACTCAAATCAGCAGGTGGGCCATGGTGGTTCTGCAAGGGGGCAGCATGGCGTTGGGCAATATGGTGGTGTTGCCCCTTACATGGGGCACTAGATATCATATCCCTTAGGTAAGTTATGCTTCCTAATTATCTCGCATCAAGTGTTTGTCAATGACTTCAGATTTGGGAATTATACATATGTCTAGTAACATAGTTGCACACTCTGACCACCTAAAATCGATCTCATTTGACTAGGAAGAAAATTTGAACCATATCCTATCTGTTATTAGTTTTCTTATGCTATTTGTGCATTCGCAACCAATATATGTACTTCATCATTCTCATTCCACCTTTTTGTTTTTGCTGTCAATCTTTGTAGAATTTATGTGCTATACTTCACTAGCATTTCATTTCATTGACTATGTTGCATGCTTTTCTGGACTCCTTTTCTCCAAAAAGAAGTGACGTATTCTTTTTGTTTTGGAAGGTTCTTACATATTTGTTTTAGCATTTTTTTTCTGTAGTAATAATAAAAATTTCTTATACTAACCATTTAAGTTACCAGTAACAAATTTACTTACCTCACCATTTTAGCATCGAACTGATGTTGTAGTTGTTTGATATTTCCTTTAATGTTGAATAGATCTTTAATTTTGATTTTAACCTTTTTATAAAGGATTTTAACCTGATTCTGTTTTAAAATTTGTCTTTATGCTTTCCTACTCCTTTTGCAGATCCCATATAAGTGTATCAGTGTTTTATATAGGCCTGCCGATTCTTCTGAAGTTTATGGAGCTTGTGCAAATGAAGTCTTTTCTAAATACGATCAAATGTTACTTTTGTTTACTACATAGAGACTCTTAAAATGTCTTTCTGTTTTCTCTACTTATCTGTGTTCTTTCTTCTTTCCTCTCATTTCAAAACATTGTATTTTGGGTTTTAGTATTTAGTTTAAAAGCTTTGGGAACAATTTGACTTCTTCCTTGAATAATATTGGTAATGTTTGTAGTGTGTGAGATTCAAATAATTTACCTAGTTTTCAGTCAATGCTATTTTGCAATTGTTTTAAAAATATTTCAATGGTACTTGATTTTCTTCTTTCTGATTGTGAATTATGATCCGTTTTCCTTCTTCAGAGTCTTATTTTTACTGGTTTTGCAAATTGTGCTTTAAGTGTATTCTACATGTTTCAGTGTTCATGATGCATGTTTCAAATGAAATTTAAAAACCATGGCTTTGTGTTGATAGGGAGGGTATCTGTTGACTTATATAATCTTAGAATGTTCTGCATATTCAATGTAGAACGTTTTCTTGTTCTTCCCTTCTCTGTATATTTCCTATTTAGAGATAAATATAAAAAATCTCTCATACTCTCCTTTCTGTATTATCAACATGGTAACATAAACATAAAAAACCTCATTTCCTCTCCAAGGCAGATTTTCCTTTGGTTACCCTTATTCTGCTGGAGCCTCCTCAAGGATTTTTACCTTGGCTTCTACATGATAATCTTGGTGTAATTCACCCAAGAATCTGTTTGTAATCTTAGAGCTAATGCTCTCCCTTTTTACCACCCCCCCCCCCCCCCCCTTCCATGGTCCAATTTTAGCTATTGATTTTAGGTTTTGTCTTTTTATCGGTATCATTTGATCTGTTTTTAATATCTGGTGTGGGTTTATTTGACTACTATCATGAGCGATGAAACTAAAGATACAAATTAGTCCATTTAAGTTTGATGACACCAATTACCTTGTTTGGTTAAGGTTATGCCGGTTTTATTGAAGCTTGGGAACTTTAGGAGTATCTTACTGGAGCTAAAACTCAACCTGAATTAACCAACCCAACCTATCATCAATGAGATTCTTAAAATTCCCTGGTGATGTCTTCGCTTATTAATTCCATGCAACCTTAAATTTCTAGTGGGTATTTGTTGTTGAGCACTGCATAAAAATGTTGGTTCAAAGAATGAAGCACGGTGAGATAATAACTGCTTAATCTTTTGCTGAATTGAACAGTTTGTGGTAGAAACTTGATTTCTATGAAGATTATCAATCGACATATGAGGCTGATATGGTAGGATATCAGAGAAAGTTTGAGAAAGGGCACATATATGATTCTCTTGCAAGGTTGAATGTGGAATATCATCAAATAAGAATTCAGGTCCTGGGAAAGGACCTTTTGCCTTCTATGAGGCAAACATACAGATGTGTGCAACATGAAGAAAGTGGGCGAAGTGCCATGATAGGTACAACCTCTGTTGAGAAAGCAGGACTTGTAGCAAGGTTTCTCTCAACCTAAACAAATTAATCCACACCTCATCAAATAAGGACCACATACAGTGTGATTATTGTGGGAACCTAGACATACTAAGAAAAACTGTTTGAAATTGCATGGACAACTGACTAAGGGTCGTGGAGGTAAACAGATGGATTCCACTAGACCTCCTGCACACTAAGCTGAAGTAGTAGCAGTGACTGCAGCATTATCTGCTGGGAGTCTATATGATGAAGATGTACAAACCTTAAGGTGTCTTTTATCAAAACTTGACTCCCTATCCATCTCAATTGCTTCTTCCAATTTTGTGCAATTTGGTAAATGGCCATTTTTGCTAATTCTATTGATGATTCATGGGGTATAGATTGTAGCAAAGCAAAAGAGATATGACATACTCTTTGGATAAATTTTTAATCTCTTCACCTTGTTCTGGCAAATATAGAGTTCGTATAGCAAATGTTTCTTTAGCTTGTATTAATCACAAGTTCCATTGAGTGCACAACACCGATCAATTTAACTTCTGTTCTTCATATTTTCAGTTTTCCTATAAATCTTTTGTCTGTTATTGCTATTAAAAATGCTCTCGGTTATAAAGTTGAATTTTTTTTTTCCCACTTATTGTGTTTTGCAAGAATCTGAGAATAGGGAAAACATTTGGCTTTGGTAGATTGCATAATGGCATGTAGCTTCTGGGAAAATGTTGTACTTCTCCGGCTCCTTGTATAACCCAAGCTTTGTTAGGAAGCAATAGTAATGCTCATCAAGAAATTATTTAGTGGCATAGGCAGTGAAGACACCTCTCCTTTTTTGTTATGAGGAAGTTATATTCTAGTCTTTTTGAACAGTCAGAGTTTTTAGTTTGTGATGCTTGTAGATTTACTAAATATCGTAGTTCCCATGTTTCTCATAATAACAAGAGCTCCGTGACAATCCGTTTGGATGTGTGCGGACCACCTACCTCTACTTTTCCATTGTTGGGTTATAAATGGTTGATTACCTTTATTGACTGTTGTGTTAGATTAACTTGGATTACCTCTATAAATGGTTCTTTAAATCTTTTCATAAAATGATTAATACCCAATTTGATGCCAAGGTTAAAATTTTTAGAATTGATAATGAAATGTAATATATGGATCAAATGTTTCAAGCATGTTTAGATTCTAATAGAATCATACATCAAACTACTGTGTTGAACACAAGTGTTTAAGATAGGATGTCTGAAAAGAAAAAAAAATGGACATTTACTAGAGATGGTTGGATCCTTTTATTCACCATGAATGTACCCATATTGGGAAATACATTGCTTTGTTGGAAAATACATTGCTTTTTGCAGTATCTCGTTAATAGAATGTCTTAGAAGACGTCCAATTTTAAAAGTCCTTTAGAAGTTTTGCATTTTACATGCTAATACTTCATATATACTCTTTCTCCAAAAGTATTTGGTTGTGCATTTTTTTGTTCATTGTAGTCCTGGAGGTGTATAGATCCTAGAGCTCTAAAATGTGTGTATTGGTTATTCTGCTACTTAAAAGGGTCACAAGTGTTTATCATATCTCATCCCAAAGACACTTTGTGAGCATGGATATAAATATTACGAATGAGCAAGAATTTAGAGAAGGTAGATTGGATATGCTCCTAAACGGTACAATTGAAGGGAGGTGATTAATGCCATTAAGCATGATATACATGGTTAAACTTCATATCTACAATTAGTTTCTGAAAAATCAATGTGGTGAATCTCATTTCCTGGTTGTTCTATTCGGATTTTGATCTTATAGTTGATGATGATATTTCTATTGCTCTCGAAAAAAAAAGGTTAGAACTTGTACGAAATAACCTATATCCCAGTTTGATTATTATGATTCATTATCTCTTTCCTATAGAGCCTTTATATTGCTTTCCCATATGATCTTAGAATATTCTGTATATTTAGGAATTTCTTGTTCTTTTCTTTTCTGTTTCTTTCCTATTTAGAGGTAGGCTTGTATACAAATAGCATTATTGTATTGGAAGCAACAATTTATCATAGAAATAAAAATTTCTTCTTTCTCGCATTCTTCCTCTCTTCGTTGTCAACAGTCTCTATCATTAGTTATCTTGGAGAGATCCGATTGTTTATCAAATTTTCTTGCCAATGATTTTTGATATAAATCGAGCAATCAGGGTTAGTATTGACTTAATCACAGAAACTTGCTGATGAAAATATATGAACCGTTTGCAACTTTCCTCAGATGTCTTCGTTCATAGTGATCTATTTAGAATTGTCTTCGTGTTTGAATACCTTTTCTCCTTTCAATTGATTTAATTAGAAGTATTGTTTCTGTGTTCTATAGCTTCAGCTTGTGGCTTTTGTCCATGGTGTTTGTATGTTCCATTGAAAAATTCTTCTTACAGCAAAGTCTATTCCATTTGCCTTTTGTTTCTCAAGTTCTGGAAGTGTTGTGATCAAATGTTTTAAAAGCAGGGTTGCCTTTTTGAGTCTCTTGAGCATCGCTTCACATCGGTCTAAAATAGTTGAAAGCAGGCTTGTCCCTTTTGTTTTTTCAATTCATAAAAAGTCAATTTTTAATTTATAAAAAGCCAAGTAAAATAATAAATTTTAGTTAGATATAAATTTAGGTTTTTGTTTTGTTATTTTTAAGCATGGAATTTTAATTAGGGTTTATTGAAATTATATTTAAATTAGATTTCTTGTAATTTAATGTTTAGGGAATCATTATTTGTTGTCAATATTATATAAGTTAGGGTTCAACAAAAAATTGTTTATGATAAAATTTTATTAATTCAAATACGATCAATATTCTTTTCATTAGGTTATTAAAATAATGGGCTTGGATAGATCAAATGAAAGAACATCACTTTTGATACATTTTCAACTGCATGCATTTTCTTCTTTCATTTACTCTTCGTTTTTCCCTTTGTTTCGATGAATTTGTAATTAATATTCTGAATTTGAATTCGTTGTTTGATTGGAGGTAAATAGATTAGAGAAGTCTAATTTTCCAATAAGTGATAAGTTTTCTTATTTGGCCTGCACCGTTAATTAATTCAACTTTTTGAGTAGGCCATTCAACTCCATACAACGGTAATTAATTTGTTAATGTATACTTTCTAAATACGCTTTAAATTACTCTCTTCGTTTTATATATATATATATATATAACTACTTTTGCACTTGGTTTTGGTTTAAGAAGGTAGTGACACTGAAATTATTTATCTTTTCTTTTCTATTGTACCCCTAAAACACTATTAACTCATCTACAATTTTCAATAGGAATAATTGATCTTGTCTTTTATTATTATTATTATTATTATTATTATTTTGGTGTCTGAACGAAAGCTTGTTACAATTGAGTGTTTAAACATGCATTGTTTTTTTCAATTTGGTATAACTTGATGATACAATTGAAATGTCTAATGGAATGAAATAAGACCCACGTATGCTTACGTGGCCTGATATTTAATCCACATAGACGGTAAAAAAAAGCCAATTATTCACATGGTAAAAAAAAAAAAAAAAAAAAAAAAAAAAAAAAAAAAAATCCCAACGACTCAATTAAACCAAAAATACATAAATATGACTTAAGAAAAGTTAGAAGACAACAAGACCCTGGAAGATAATTCGTTAACGAAGGAGCATATTGCTGGTATCTAGCTCTTCAAATCTTGGCAGCGTTGGAGCTGAAGAAGCAAAAGAAGAGAAATTTGTAACGTTCCAGTTACTCTATAAGGTCGCTTGTCTTATAGATGTATTCAAGGGTTTAACAGATATGAATTTCCTTCTTTTAAATTGGGCATGTGATTTCACGCTTACAAAATCGAAATTCCATCTTCAATCTGTGATATTGAAGTTAAGGATCGAGATTTGAGAGGGACAGAAGAAGAAAGGGGCTTTAGATCGTGAATGTAGTTAGGGATTTCATGATCTAACTGTTAAGGTGAAGATAAATGGGAATAAATGAATAATTTCAGCATGATTGCCACTTTGGAGTCTATGTGAATTAAATGTCAGACCAAGTATGAAGATACCTAGGCATATGTTGGCCCCACTTTATCCCATTAGATATTTCAGTTGTTCATATCATCAGGAGATGCCAAATTGAAAAAAAATACAAGTCTAGATACTTAATTCTCACAATTTTCCATTTGTACACTAAAATAGACAAAAAAAAGATAAGTACAAGCACCAAAAATAACATTATCCCTTTTCAATACAAGAAAATTAATAGATGAGAGAAGAAAAAGTTTTATTTGACTATTGTTTTGCAAAGTTGTGTTAATATAGGATAATGTTGTACTCAATTTTTCCATTTCAACAGTCGTTGGGGTTTTATGAGAACATATTAAAATAGGCACATATTTAATATTCTTGCAAACTGTTGGTTAGAGAGAGCTCTTCATGCTTCTATTAGTTCTTTAGAGAGAAAAGTTGACTGTCCTCCTTTTTTCACCCGGAGAGGAAAAAGAAAAATCAATAATAAAGATGTCGGAATAACAAAATTACACAAACTTAAACCTTCACATTATTGGGCAACAACTAAATAGATTAGAAAGTCGCATATCTAAATTTCAAGTAGTAGACTATACCCCTAAAGTTAGGTTAACAAAAAATGGCAGAAAATATTGAAAAGAAGGTTTTATTTAAACCAATGGAATCAAGAAAACTTGGCTCAAAATTAGCCAAAGATGATCGTTTAGAAATAGTAGAAGAATTGACTAAAAGATTAGCAGAATTGGGACTTGGAGATATAAAGAAAAAGTCAATAGTTCCATTAACTATGGAACGAGAATCAGATAAACATATTTCTAATTCTGAATCACCTTAGTTCCATTAACTATGGAATGAGAATCAGATAAACATATTTCAAATTCTGAATCACCTTATATTGAAGGTGAAAAAGAGGAAGAATATATAATCAACTAGGTGAAGGAATGCATGACTATTGACCATGATTTCAGCATCGAGATCTAGAAAATTCTGCTACGGTTCCAACAGTGCAAGAATCAGCTCGATCGGACATTTTTTGGACCTCGAATGGACCTCTGGAAGCCAAAAAGCTTGAATCAGACCTAAAAGGGTAAGGATGTCAACATGCCTTGCCAGTACGGGCCAGGCAGGCGGCGTTACCGGCTAGGGCTCCCAGAGCCGCCACCACCGGTACTAGCACTCAGGCAGCCGGTATGGTGGAGGGCTTGCTGGTACTGGCCAGGCAGCTCCAGCCCTATAAATATTCAGCCACCTCCCTCCATTTGCTATCTCTTATTGCTCGATTGAATGGTTCTCAAACATCAATGAATCTATATCTACCTCAAGCACGATTCTAAGGCCATAAAGTTTAAGTTTTACTCGAGTTCCTTAATCGAGTTAAGAATCCGACTTGGTTCTCAAAGGTCGATCCTTTCGACTTTCGATCACAACCTAGTGTTCCTTGAACTAAAGCTACGTAATACATAATTAAGGACTTAATCGGGCCCTTATGCCTATCCTTAGCATTATTTTAGATCAAGATTCAATTTCCTTGATCGAGAA